TTCTGGTGGGAACATATATTTTAATGGCTGCATAGCAGTCAACTGCTTGAGTCCACCAACTTCTTTAACTTGTCCCTTGGTAACTGACATGGTTTGGATGTGTGTTCCCACCCAAATCTCAAGTTAATTGTAATCCCCAGTATCGGAGGTGGGGCCTGGTGGGAGATGACTGGATCACGGGGTGGATTTCTCATGAATGGTTTAGCATCATCCTCTTGATGCTATCCTCACAATAGTGAGTAACTTCTTGCAAGATCTGGCTATTTGAAAGTATGGCAACTCTTTCTCTCTCCTGTTCCCACCATGTGAGATGCCTGCTCCCCCTTGGCCTTCTACAACAATTGTAAGCTTCCTGAGGCCTCCGCAGAAGCAGATACCTGTGTTATGCTTCTTGTATAGCCTGCAGAACTATAAACCAATTAAACTTCTTTTCTTAATGAATTACCCAGTCTCAGACATTTCTTTATACATAAACAGCCTAATACAGTAATCAGTGTTTATACTGTTTCTATTTTGCACTATTACAAAGAATGCTACATTTTCTCATAAATCCTCAAACAACTCTATGAAAGGGGAACAATTTAACCCCATTTTACAGATGAAGGAATGGAGGCACAGAAAAATGAAGTAATTTGGCTAATCTCACATATGGTTATGATGGAAGCTGCTATTGAGACAGCCAAATGCCTAGCCAGATAAAAAAAGGGGTCTGTGATAGTTAACACTGAGTGTCAACTTGACTAGATATAAAGTATTGATCCTGGGTGTGTCTGTGAGGGTGTTGCTAAAGGAGATTAACGTTTGAGTCAATGGGCTGGGAAAGGCAGACTCACCCTCAATCTGGGTGGGCAAAATCTAATCAGCCGCACTGGCTGAAAAGAGAGACTGGCCTAGCCTCTCAGCCTACATCTTTTCTCTCATGCTGGATGCTTCCTGCCCTCAAGCACGTACTCCAAATTCTTCAGTTTTGAAACTTGGACTGGTTCTCATTGCTCTTCAGCCTGCAGATGGCCTATTGCAGGACCTTGTGATCATGTGAGTTATTACTTAATAAACTCCTCTTTATATATATATATATATATTCCATTAGTTCTGTCCCTCTAGAGAACCCTAATACAGGGTCCCTGGAGAATCTCCGACCTGCCCCACAAGTGTTTACATCAGATGCTTTTGTGCAGATGAGGGAACCTGTCCCAGGCCTTGTCTGAGCCTGCCCACATGTGCACTGGGGAAGGGGTGTAGCCACCAGCAGTGGGAGGAGCCTAGCCTCTTCAGTTCAGTGGCCTGGGATTCAATCTGTGAGGTAGGGGGCCTATTAGCAGGACTCCATCTTGTTTTGCTGAGTTTTTTCTCTTTTCTTCTTTTCACCCAATAAAATCCTGCTCTACTCACCCTTCAATGTGTCTACATGCCTAAATTTTCCTGGTCGTACGACAAGAACCCGGTTTTGGCTGAACTAAGGAGCAATATTCTGCAACACTATGACCCTACTTCCAGGATACAACTGACTGACCACCAAGAGTGGTCACTGGAGCCAAGATATCGTTACTGTAGTAATTCATTTCCTTGTATTACTTAATTGGTCTATAAGCAGGCACATGGCCCATGGTAAGCCAATCAGGGTCCTTTTCCTAGAATTTTAGAACTGGAATTAGGAAACTCTTATAATTCAAACTCAGGTCTACTAGCAGACTTTTGGAGAAAAATTCCTCCAGAGTTTTCAAAGAGAAGGAAACCAGGACAGGGAGAAAAAATGGAAAAGCCATGAGAATCTTGAGGCACTCAAGGCTTGGTTCCAGGTGTTCCTGAGGCCCAGCTATAACCCACTCTTTCCAGAAGCTAAGTTGTTTTGTAAGAGTCCATAGTATATATTTAATCAGTTACTTTTAAAAGTGCTTTTATTTCAAAAAGATTTCCTTTCACTTTTACCTGAGAGAGTTCTAACTACTTGAAGTGAATTAATCACCTGGTGGTACTGTAAACATTGTAACAAAATTGCCCAACAACACGAGTGCTATCTCACTTCCATTAGCTCCAGCTGTGTAATGAAATGGAAACAAACTTGGTAAAAACAACCCTTTAAAATCATATCCATGACAAATGTTTCTGTACTAACTCCTTTAGGAAGTACAGACTTCTATTTTAGTGGAGTCATTTATTCTCATCTTACCCAGAAACGTTAAGTGTTTAAGGTTGTTTTCCACAGCATATCACATAGGCCAATAATGCATACTAGCTAGACAAATAAGACAACTTTCTCACTAAATGCAATCCTTTCAGGAAAGAAGTGCCAAAATTTTGCAGTGATGAGTTGATAATCCACCACTACACATTGAGGGAAAAGTTTTAAAAGGTTAGGCTGAAATAAATTTGTTTCTGGGGAGTGAACTAGAGAGACTGATAAATCCACTTAACAAACCTTTCTCTAAAAGGGGACTCTCAGGTGCCATGGCTCACGCCTGTAACCTCAGCACTTTGAGAGGCCAAGGCAAGAGAACGGCTTGGGCAACATAGGGAAATCTCACCTACAAAAAAAATTTTAAAGTAGAGCCAGATATGGTGGCTCATGCCTATGATCCCAGCATTTTGCGAGGCTGAGGCAGGAGGATCCATCGTGGGCAAGAAGATCTGTAGAGCTCAGGAGCTCGAGACCAGCCTGGGCAACACAGCAAGACTTTGTCTCTATAAAAAGCCCTAGCCAGGCATGGTGATTCATCCCTGTAGTCCCAGCTACTCAGGAGGCTGAGGTGGGAGGACTGACAGAGCCCAGGGAAGTCAAGATTGCAGTGAGCCGTGATCGCACCACTGCACTCCAGCAGGTGACAGAACAAGACCCCTGTCTAAAAAAAAAGCAGGCAGGGAAGGAATATCATATACTCCAGTTAACTTTCCAGAAAATTTTGACACACTCTAACTTGTCGCCCATGCCACACATTTACATAAAGTGCTAACCGATTTCAAGTATTGGGCTGAACTGACAACCAACCATTCAAGGCTTCAAAAATACCCACTTCATATATGCCTGAACTTAAATGAGAACCATATGTCAAGGAAAAAAAGAGAAATGAAAAAGATGACAAGTTTATGAAATTCTTTTTTTTTTTTTTTTTTTTTTTGAGGCGGAGTTTCACTCATGTTACCCAGGCTGGAGTGCAATGGCGCGATCTCGGCTCATTGCAACCTCCGCCCCCTGGGTTCAGGCAATTCTCCTGCCTCAGCCTCCTGAGTAGCTGGGAGAAATTCTTAAGGCAATATTTATTACATTAACTTTTTAACCCTCAAATACATATCTGCTATAACAGATGATCATGTAAATTATTTTATTCAGTCCTTTATACACAAACACAGAAATCATATTGGTTTGCTTACCCATAGTGTTTCATTATTCTATTCCTTAGCATGTGCAAATCCCTCACTACAGCAGATGCAGAGTATATTAAATGAGGAATATCGTGAAAATGTATTGTCAAACTTTAAAAATACATAAAATTTCAGAATTTATTACATAATAAGCTTTGAAATCCTGAAGTAGCTAAAAAATCACGCTTTGTCATTTTATTACTATAAGCTCTGCGATACACGTGCAGAACGTGCAGGTTTGTTACACAGGTATACGACTATAATTTTAAAGTTACATGAGGAGAGCTTTCATTCCATTGGTATAAAGGTACTTTAATTGATAAAAATTTTACATGCATAACAAGTTACTTGAAAGATGTATCAGCCAGTCGGGTTGGCTCATGCCTGTAATCCCAGCACTTTGGGAGGCTGAGTCGGGTGGATCACTTGAGGTCACGAGATCGAAACCATCCCAGACAACATGGTGAAACCCTGACTCTACTAAAAATACAAAAATTAGCCGGGCGTGGTGACACACACCTGTAATCCCAGCTACTCAGCAGGCTAAGGCAGGAGAATCGCTTGAACCCAGGAGGCAGAGGTTGCAGTGAGCTGAGATCCTGCCACTGGACTCCAGCCTGGGCAACAGAGCAAGACTCAGTACCAAATAAATAAATAAATAAATAAATAAATCTGTGTATCGGAAGGTATAGCTAAAATATGAAACTGATTACAGCCCCTGGAGCGTAAACGTGGTTTAAGAATCAGGACGGCCTTAAACATAACCTACTCATAATCAGATGGCAAGAATGACTTCACCTGGAGAACTTAGCTCTAAGAGCTGGATGAAATCACAACCCTCTAGCAACAACCTCCTAGATCCATGTCTTACCTTTTACTCCACTGTCAATGTCATTTTCCCCAATTACAAAAATAAAAAATGGAAAGACACAATACTAATTTTTTGTCTCCATAGGATGTGGCAAAATGAGAAATATCAATTACACTTCATTTTCAAAGGCGGTCCACAGCGGAAACACTCGGACCTTACACTAAAGTGAAATTTTCCAGCAGTCACAAGATCCACGAGTTCTTTCACAGCCAACTAATCAAAAAGTAAGAGAAGCGACATGAAGCTGCGCCCAAACGGCCAGGAATGGGACCTAAGGCGTCACGAAACTTCCCGAGGACATTATGGGTTTAGAGAAGGCCCCACAGAAACCCTCAAGTGGGAAAGTTACGTCTCCCGGGTCTTGGGGTGTCAGGCATCCTGAACCCCGAGGGGCTCGAGGCGAGGTGCCCCCCGGCCGGATTCGGGACCAAACCCACCCGCCACGTCCTGAGCTCCGCGCAACAAACCCGCAGGCCGAGCGGCGGCCCTTGGGATCGTGTTTTCTCGACGCCACAGGAGGGACAGCGACCCTGAGAACTTAGGCCTGGCAGAGGCCGGGAACCAGGCAGGCGCGGGTGGGCGAGGAACGCAGACGCCGCAGGAGAGCGCGGCCCAGAGGCCCAGGAGAGCGCAGCGGAGCCGGCCCGAGTCCGGCCGCCATCGTGGACGCTTGCAGCCGTTGACGGTTCCCGTCGCGGCCCAAGAGACGGCGGCCACGGAAGCAGAAAGAGCCCAGCCACCCTCGTCACGGCCCGCACGCCCGCCTCACCTGGACTTGCTCACCCCATTCTCGCCGATGATGAAGCTCTTCAGAGTGCAACACGTCCTGGTCCATCCTGACCGCGCTGCGCTCCGAGCCCAGCGGACCACCATGGTGCACCTCACCCCTTCGGCAGCAGGAGCTGCCGCGCATGCGCGCGCTCCAAGGCCGCACGCACCCAGAATCCCCCGCGTCTTCATGAAAGGCGCGTTCCTACCCTGCGCAAGCGTAGACGGGGAGCGCTGGGGGGGGGGCAGCGTGGGCTCTAAATCCGCCCCGACCTCAATCCAACTCTCTTTATGTCGTGTCAGTAGGAGAGGACCGAGTCAGGAGAATATCAAAGCTGTTTTATTTCAGCAAATGCTCATAATAGCTGCATTGCAGTGGGAAACGCACTGTGCTTGAAGCAGTTTACCTTAAATTTAGGCACATAACTGCCTTGTCATACTACCCAGCCTTCTGAGCCTTTCTCTATCTCAGAGAGACACGAAGGCTTCTTAGAACACCTGCTTCTTATTGTTATGAAGATTAAATGAGTTAATTTGTGAAGACAGATTGTTAACCACAGTGCTCTAGAAATAAGGTGTGATCAGGTATTAACTTGCTGGCTTCCACTGTGGTAGAGTGGAGAGCACCCTTCACACGTTAATTGATCTTGAAAGGGAGGTGTAGACTTCAGGTAGGTCAGGTGCATATAAACTTTCAGTAGTGCAACTTCAGACCACCTCTTCCTCCTCGTAAGAACTGCTGCTACACTCTGCAGAAAGTGTATGTCTACACCTTGCCTCTTGCATTAAGTTGTAAATCTTAGTGAAGGTACCAAACCTCATTCATAATACTTAGCACATTGCCTGGTACGTGGCAGGCACTCAATTAACATCCGTTATCTTATCTCCTTATACCTGCAGTTAATGTCATATAAAATATATATTTGATTAAAGAATACATACAAATAAAGCTTAGAGGCTGGGTGCCATGGCTCATTTGCCTGTAATCTCAGTACTTTGGGAGGCCTAGGCAGGTGGATCACTTGAGCTCAGGAGTTCAACACCAGCGTGGCCAACATGTGAAACGTTGTCTCTACTAAAAATACAAAAATTAGCTGGGTGTGGTCGTAGGCACACCAAGTAATTCCAGCTACTTGGGAGGCCGAAGCAGGAGAATCGCTGGAACCTAAGAGGTGGAAGTTGCAGTGAGCAGAGATCGTGCCACTGCACTCCAGCCTGGGTGACAGAGTGAAAGATACCGTGTCTCAAAAACAAAAAATAAAATGTAGAATAAGTTAAGAAAATATTTGTTAAATACCTGGAAAAGCTCATTCACCAGACATCCAAGTGGCTTCCTCACCTACTTCAGAGCTTCCCTCAAATGTTGCCTTAAGGAGGTCTTTCCCGTCCATCCTACTGAAATATGCAGATCCTTCTAGCATCTCTAAATGTCTTTACATTGTTTTTCTGCAAAGCACTTAACCACCTTCTGAGGCACTATATATTTTATTACTTTGTTAGAAGTCTCATGAAGGCAAGGATTTTTTGTCTGTTTTGTTTCCGGTATGTTCTGAGTATCTAGAGTACTCCCTGACACATAATTTATGCTGAGTAAATTAATTCAATGAATTTCTTAGAGCCTATTTCCAACCTTAGAGAATAATGTCAGTGAAACAACCTATACCCCTCATTAAATAGCACTGGAAACTTCAATCAAGTCTAACTAGCTTACTTTTCAGTATGATAGCAAGAATTTATTTGTGAGGGTCACAGGATTGTCAAGCTCTCCTGCTTTGGGTTAGTCATTCCAAATGTGTGGTGCCCAGATCCCTAGAAATTCCTGACAACCTTTGGAAGCATTTTTCCAGTGTTTCAAGCCTCGGCACCACTGATCAGAGAGAAAACCCAAGATAGTAACAAGGAGGAATATGAGTTTGGTTTCAGCCATAGTGAATTTCATGTAAGGGTGAGCCTTGAAAGCAGCATTTTTCAGAACTCTTTTAGTCTATGGTTCTAAGATTCAGGGCAGATAGCCAGACACTAAAAAAAGTAGCAGGGAGATGGCATTCCTAACTAATGATTTGGCCAAGGTGTTGTGTTCTATATACTATTATCCTCACATCCCTGGAAAACAGGGAAATCCTTTCATAAGTTTTAGACATTCCTGACTGTCCTTTTCCCTGCAGATCTATTTTCTAGTATTAATTATTTTTTTGCCATACTCCAAAGATACGATCAGTTCATAGAAGAATATCTATGGACATATTCTTAAGACCTGAAGTTTGGGATGATAGCCCAGTATGTAGGAAGGGATTGAAATGAAGAAACCACTTGGAGGGGTTTCTCTGTTATAATTTGCACAATATCACCTACTACCAAGGAACTCGTTTTACATCAGAAGTGTGGCCGTGGGCTCATGCATGCCCTGGGATTTCACTGGTGTTATCACCAGACCCCAGCATAGGAAGCAGCTAGTCTGATAGACTGTGGGATGGCGCAATGCCCACTCAGTTAAGGTGCTAGCAGGGAGATAATATTCTGTAAGGTTGCACTGCTGCTCTATCGGATGTAGTAAAAACTTTAAACCTGCAACCTACAAATGATGTAGCTTTCCTAATAAAATTCACAGTCAATGAGGAGCATCTGACCTCCCAGGTCTATATGATATGTTCCTCCTATGTGGCTCCTACCCTGGCCCCAGCTGTCACTGGGCTCTGGTAACACTAGCTCCTGCCTCTGCGTCTTCAGAACTAGGGTGGAAAGGGCTACCTACTGAAGTTAATCTCTGGGTTACTTTCTTCTTGGCTGCCCTAACCTGCTGTAAATAGTCTTTTGATTATAGTATCTTGAGACATCTGAGTTAGATTTTGTTTCTTGCTGGGACCCTGACTAACCATTCCATTCATTTATTCATTGACCTGAGAACCTAAAGCTCAGTTTCTTGGGAGAACTAAGAGGCAGCATCTTTGGCACAAATATTAGTGTTTTCAGGAAAGTTAATGTCAACAATGATGATGAAACCTTTTTTTTTTTTTTTTTTTTTTTTTTTCTGAGAGGGAGTTTTGCTCTTGTTGCCCAGGCTGGAGTGCAATGGTGGGATCTTGGCTCACGGCAACCTCTGCCTACTGGGTTCAAGCAATTCTCCTGCCTCAGCCTTCCAAGGAGCTGGGATTACAGGCATGCATTACCAAGCCTGGCTTATTTTTTGTATTTTTAGTAGAAACAGGGTTTCACCATGTTGGTCACGCTGGTCTTGAACTCCTGACCTTGTGATCCACCTGCCTCGGCTTCCCAAAGTGCTGAGATTGCAGGCATGAACTACTGTACCAGGCCATTTTCTTTTTTCTCCTTTTTTTTCTCTGTCTGGGGCTCGATCCTACGACCTTCCTATTCCTGCACCCTACCTACTGCACTACGCTACTGACTAACGCCCTAGCACTATGTCTAAGCCCCAGCCCTATTCCTAACGCTAAGCCTACCTGGGATTCGAACCTGCACCCCAGCAGCTCCTAGAGCTAGGCCTTGATCAGTGCTCTAGCAGGCTGCCTGATGAAACTATTTTTTAAGAGGTGGAGTCTTGCTATGTTCCCAGGCTGGAGTGCAGTGGCTCTTCACACGTAGGCTAATAAAGCACTGCAGTCTCGAATTCTTGGGTTCAAGGGATCCTTCCACTTAAGTGTCCTGAGGAGCGGGGACTATATGCATGTCACCATACCCAGCTCTGATTATGCAACTTTAAGAGGCTTTGTGGGCAAGAGACATCAATCATGATAGCAAGAGCAGGAGAAAAAGATGACAGAGTCGATATGATAAAAGCCTGGGACCCACATAAATAGTCAACTGATCTTTAGCAAGGGGGCAAAGGCAATGCAATGGATAAAAAATACTCTTCTCAACAAAAGGTGCTGGAACAACTGGAGATCCACGTACAAAAAAATGCATCTAGAAACAGACCTTACGCTTTTCACAAAAATTAACTCCAAATGGATTACAGACCTAATGTAAAACACTATAAAGCTCCTAGAAAATAACAGGAAAAAATCTAGACCACCTTGAGTATGGCAATGAATGACTTTTTAGATACACTAAATGCATGATCCATGAAAGCAACTGGTAAGCTAGACATAATTAAAATTTACAAAAGAAAGGAAACTTTCTCTAATAAAGACAATGTTAAGAGAATGAGAAGACAAGCCACAGACTGGGAGAAAATATTTGCAAAAGACGCCTCTGCCAAAAGACTGCTATCCAAAATGCACAAAGACGTTTTTAAATTCAATAATAAGAAAAAAATCCATTCCCAAAAATGGACCAAAGACCTCAAGAGATACCTCACCAAAGAAGATATACGGATAGCAAATAGGCACCTGTATATCTTAAAGAGTGGCTCCAGATCCAATGTCATGGGGGAAACGGAAATTAAAAAACAGTGAGACACGATACACACCTATCAGAACTGAGGCAGGAGAATAGGGCCTGAAGGCAGGGAACCTAAGGACTTCCTAGAACTAAATCAAGTGGAAACACTTCAGCTATGACAGAAAATATTCTCTTCATTAAGGTACAAAGAAGACTTTGTAACTTTGTCTTAATTTACTCTGGAGTGGTGGTCGTTGAGGGGATGTTTGTTTTTTCTGACTGCCATCTAGAGGCTGATAGGCGTAATTACAGACACTATGCTTCCTAGGCCCGGAGGTAGGAAAGGCTGGTGGAGATGGCAGAACCTTCAATTCATCTTTCCCGCTCTGCTGCCTAAGGAATGCTTTGCATGCCTGACTCTTCACAAATACTTTCATTCCGAGGTTGCAAGGTCTATCTGGTTTGGCTTCTTTAGAAGAGCATAGCTTGTCGCTTTAGATATCCCATCTGTCTGAAGCCTCTGCCCAAGGACTTTATTTAATTCATAAAATAAAATAAAGCCATTCATTTTATGCATTTAGGGAAGCTGCCTCACCTTGTGAGCCCACACTGTAGTATTTCAGGTGGCTTTAGCCACTGGAGGAGGTAGGTGTCACTTTGTGGAATTGTAGACACTTAACAGGTGGAAGGAGCTTTGCAGACTGTCTAGCAAGTGATGCTCAGCCTAGAAAACTGGGTTCTCTGGCTCCAGAATCGCAATCAATTAATGGCCTATCTTCCCATAAATCACAGGAAAAAAGTTAATAAGAAGGATTTTCTG